CTTCACCTGCAGCAGCTGCGCCTGGACGCGGGGACACCGCGGGATAGGCTTCCAGGGCCGCCCGGAGCCCCGGGTTGGGGTGGTCCAGGGGCACAGAGGCAGCTCTCAGGCCTTCCTAGGGCCTGCGGCTGGCAAGGCCCCTCTCGCGGGCCGATCTCCGCACGCAAGGTCCACCCACGTAGACCCTGCTGGGGCCCCGCCAGACCTTGACACCCTTCAGGTGCCTGGGGTTGAGGGGGCTGTTGGGCAGCTGCCCAGATCGTGGTGCCATGGGTAGCGCCCAGGGGCTGTGGCTGCTCCTCGCCCTTCTGGGAGGAGTGACCTTCCGCGTGGGACGCGCGGGGCTGCCCTGGAGGCCACGCCTTCTGCACACTGAGGGGCGGGTTCGGCATATCCATCCTCCACCTGTGTGTGGAGGGGGCCGCGCTGGGCAGAGCGTGCTCCCGTCCCAGGAGCTCTGCGCCTGCCCGCGGCTCCCGGCATCGTGGCAGCATTACCGGCCCTCGGGCTGCACGTGTTTTGTCTAGGTGCCTCCGTGACTCCCACCCCATTGGCAGGGGCTGGGGTTACAGATGCTACTGGGCTTCCCATCATTTTCCATCCATTGTGTCTGGTGCCCACCCACGTCTTCTCTGCCCCTCCTTGGCTCCTGAGTTGATGGGCTGGGACCCTCGGTGTCCTCGACAAGTTTCTTGTCAGAGCAGTCACCCCCAGTCACTGCAGACCTTTCAAGCTGGGATCAGGCGGCCTCCCCCTGAGAGGGTCCACAGTGCAGTGCCCACAGGGAAGGAGGCTGCTTGGGAACTGGGGGCTGACCCAGCCAGGGGCCAGACTTGGAGGGGAAGCAGCGTCCGGGCTGGTTTCTTGGGCAGCTGGAGTCTGGGAGCAGCAGGCCAGCATCTGGCTCTGCAGGCATCCCACTGCCCAGTCCGCACTGTGCTCACCGTGCTCTGCCTTCCCTGCAGGTGCTGAACGAGGCCGTGGGGGCACTGATGTATCACACCATCACACTGACCAGGGAGGACCTGGAGAAGTTCAAGGCCCTTCGGATAATCGTCCGAATCGGTAGCGGTTTTGATAACATCGACATCAAGTCGGCTGGGGATTTAGGTAGGACAGTCCCGCGTTCCCTTTGCAACCTGTATGCTGTTTCCTCTGTGCAACCTTGTCATTTGTTTTGTCCATTGATTTCCCTGGGGAGGGGAGAGCCCTGCTGCAGCTCCTTGCCAGGTTGGAGGTGGCCTGGGGGCCAGCATCCCTGCGGCTGCAGCCTGAGGCCCACGCCAGCTCCCCTGGGGCGGTCGCAGGGTTGCAGCTGCCATCCTCAGAAAGCTTGTCATGGGCAGCATGCACCCATCTCTGCTGCTGGAGACCGAGGGGCCAGGGCGTCAGCCCAGACGAGGGTTCCTCCGTCCCCATCCACGTGACATGGTGGGAAAGGACGTTGGTGTCGAGGCTCAGGACACACACGAGCGTGTGCATGCAGCGCATGCCTGCTGGTGCCTGCAGTCCCGCCCACGTGCGTTCATGCACATGTGAGACTTGGTTCCTGAACCAGGGTGACTGTGCTATGTTGGGTTTGGCCTCCCACTTTATCTGCTGCTCTGGTCCTGTCTCTCCTTTTCTTTTCCTGTGCCAGTTATGGCTCTGCAGTAAAGTGAGGACACGTGGGTTCAGCCCCCCGTTGTAGACTGCGGCCTCTGATGTCCTTGCTTCTAGGCTGTATCTTCAAGTCCCGCAGGGTGAAAACGGTTTCATGTTGTCTGCCGCCACCCGTCCCAGGGTTCACTGTGCCCCCGTGCCAGCCCCTGGTGCCCACGGCAACGCACACAGCTGGGACCCCCCCACCCACACACTGCCACCTGTCCCTGGGCAGTGCCCCCAGGAAGGCACCTGCAGTGTCTGGGGTTTCCTCCCGTTCCCAGGGCTGGTTCTCACTCCCTTGTGACTTCTCAGGCTCGGGCTTCATCTTTCCTCCGGGCCAGTCTGGGCTGTGCCACGTGGGCATCCTTGTCAAGGCCCCCCAGGACCTGGTCCACTGTCCCGTGGCAGTTTTGTTCCCAAACCTGACAGATGGTCCAGATCTGATCTCGCCCAGTGTCCCCTGCACCCGCCCTGGACGTACTTCTCCTGGTGAGCCGAGGTGCTTTGGGAAAGTGGTGCGAGGTCCGTCTGCCTGTCAGACAATGTCCAGGCACTGGGGTGGCCCAAGGGTCAACACAGTGCCATCCTGGCCGCCAGGTGCCGCTGCCTCACTGGGGAGACAGCAGGTGCGGGGGACGAGCAGATGGTGGGTGGGGGGCAGGGCCAGGTCCACGCCAGGCCGAGGCTCTGGGCGGCTCTGCTGATGCAGCTGCTTGTGCTGAGGGGCCAGGAGGACGGGGCCTTGGGGGCAGGAGGGGTGGTGCCTGTGCAGTGGTGGCCTGGCTGTGACCTCTCCCTGGAAGGTCCCGTGGCAGGTGGTCCAGGCCCAGGGCCACAGCCTGTCACAGGTGAAGCACAGGACGGGCCCCAGTGACCACCCATATGTGTCCTGTGTCCCCAGGCATTGCTGTCTGCAACGTGCCGGCCGCGTCCGTGGAGGAGACCGCCGACTCCACCATGTGCCACATCCTCAACCTGTACCGCCGGACCACCTGGCTGCACCAGGCACTGCGGGAAGGCACGCGGGTCCAGAGTGTCGAGCAGATCCGGGAAGTGGCCTCCGGAGCCGCCAGGATCCGCGGGGAGACCTTGGGCATCATTGGACTAGGTGCGCTGGGAGCTCTGGGGACAGTGAGGGCGGGGCTTGGCCGTGCTGCTGGACGGCCCCCCACCTGGGGTGATCCCCTCCCCAGGACAGTTCCCCAGCCACAGCACAGCAGGGGTGAGGCGTCTCTTGCCTCCGAGGCTGTGCAGGCCCCTCCTGCCCCAGGAACACCAGGTACAGGCCTCACGCACACGCAGGTGTCCAACAGATGCCCGTGGGGTCATGCACATGCTCACACACCTGTCCTCCTGACAGCTGAGTGGACATGGCCTTCAGGTGAGGGCCTGCTCTGAGCCTTGCCTGGCTGAGGGGAGGTCTGCTGTCTTCCACCCACCCGATCACTCACTCTGCAGGCAGCTATCCTGGGAATGGAGCCACATTGGGGGCCCATTGGGGCAGGTGGCACCCCGGGGGCAGTAGGAGGTGCTAGGAGGGAGAGGCGAGTGTGGAGGGCAGGGCTGTCGGGGGTTATGGGGGAGCTCCTGCACATGAGGCCACCCTGCACTGCCCAGCGTCTTTCTTGTTTGCTCCGGAGCCCAGCCAAACCCAGCCTGCCTGAGAACTGCCACCCTGTCCACCTGGGACTCCCCGGCATGCTGTTCCCTGAGGGTTCTCCCCCACTGACCACCCTGTCGGCTGTCCACAGCAAAGGCACTGCCTCGCGTAGCAGTGGGGGAATTTCGGAGGCATTTCGGGTCATCTCAGTGACAGACATGCCTGCGTTAGTGCAGGGAATTGGGGTCACTGATGTCTGTGGGCCATGGGGGTGTCTCCCCAACACGAGTCACTGTCCTGCTGGACGTGTGCACACGGACGCCGCACTGGTCAGAGCCCCATAGCCCTGTGAGCACCGTGCACCCAGCACTTAGGCTCCAACTCCCCAAGCGCATGGGAAGGTCTGAGGGCAAGGACCGCACCTCCCACCCCAGGGCCTCCGCCCACACGGTTGAAGAAGTGAGCAGAGCAGGTGTGCCTGGCCAAGTGGATTTGGGGCTGAGTCACTTTTGTGGGTGGCTTTGGTCACGAGACTCAGTGGGGCCCAGTGTAGGGGTGACCACCCGGGAGGACTGGGTGGTCCCAGAGTCTGCCTCTCACCCAGTGCCCGGCCTGGCTGCCCTGGGACCGTGGCTCCTGCTCGCGGCTCAGGCCCTCGCCTCACCCCTCGCCTCGCCCCCTGGGAACCCCAGAACCTGTGCTCTGGTTCCTCGCTGCCCAAGAGCAGAGCATCCCTTCCGTGGCCACAGGGGCGGAAAGTGGAGAAGCAGCTTGCTACAGAGTTGTGGTCACTACTGCGCTGCTCCACGTTCAGAGGCTGCCCGCGGGTCCCAGAAAGGAAGGGGCCCGAAGGCAGCTGCAAAACATGCTGAAAGCAATTTACGCTCTTCACCTATTTTCACAAAAGTGGAAACCTGCTTCGGGTTTCTTGGCTTCTCGGAACGGGGCGCTGACGCAGGTGAAGGGGCACGAGGTGACTGCGGGTGCCCGATCCTCAGCCCTGAGGCCGGATGCCCTGGCAGGACCCAGGCCCCTGCTGCCCGGCCTCGCGGGCTGGCGCCCCTCCCAGGGGTCTCTGTGCCGGCGCACTTCCACCTCCGCTGAAGTCTGAGGCTCTAAGGGAGCGGGGATCCGCAAGGGGGTCCCTGAAGGAGCTGCCCTGCTGTGGCCAGGGCAGAGCACCATCCCAGGGAATGGGCTCTGAACACCCCCTGACCCCTGGCATTTGTGGGGGTCGAAGTCAGGGGGTTCAGCCTCCAGGCTGCAGGGACGAATCCTAACACCACAGCCCCCACCCCACTGCCCTCTCCTTTCTGAAGCCCTGTCCTGACCCCTTCTGCCCCCCCACCCCCGCTCAGCTTCTGGGAACTGGCACCTTGGGGTCACCCTGGGCAGATGGAGAAGCCGGGGCGCATGGTGACGCCCCGTTCTGCCCCCAGGCCGCGTAGGGCAGGCAGTGGCTCTGCGGGCCAAGGCCTTTGGCTTCAGCGTGCTCTTCTACGACCCCTACCTGCCGGACGGCACAGAGCGGGCGCTGGGGCTGCAGCGCGTGAGCACCCTGCAGGACCTGCTCTTCCACAGCGACTGTGTGAGCCTGCACTGCGGCCTGAACGAGCACAACCACCACCTCGTCAATGACTTCACCGTCAAGCAGGTCTGCGCCCGCCCTCCCAGAGCGGGGGCCTGGGCCTTGGGGGGCGGCAGGGCCCCACCCTCTCTGGCCGGCGCCAGGCACACGCTGGGTGGCGGATGGGTCCTGACAGCTGCTCCTGTGGTGCCACCACCTACCGTACAGGTCCCTCCAGGGTCCCAGACTTCCTTCCCCTGGCCCGCGGGCTCCGGGCCTCACAGGTGGCTGTGTGCACACGAGCTTGTATGTGTTCACGTGCATGCATGGTGCACACACGTGGTGTGGGTGAATGTGTGTATGTGTATGTGTGTGCACATAGGTGCGCGCATCTACGTGGACATGTGTCTGTTTGCCCAGACGTGTGCACCTTCGTGTGGCTGTGTGTGAGCCCTTGTATGTGTGTTTATGTGCACATGTGTGTGTACACATTCTCGTGTGTGCGTGCCCTGATTGCTGTTTGCCCAGGGCCCCCGGGCCCCAAGGAGGGTGAGGCCACGCCTTTGTTCCCAGTTGGGGGCTTTGGGCCTCGTGGGCACTGGTCAGCGCCATGCTGTCCCTGAGAACTGGATATGAGGCCAGAACAGGCGAGAACTGATCCAGGAAGGGCTGCCTGAGCTGATGGCCGGCAGGGCGGCCTAGCTAGGGTGAGATTGGGGTCACAAGAAACCGCTAGCCTCAGAGCAGGGGTGTCCCCTCACCCTGAACCAGAGCCAGTTGGGGGTGGTCTTCAGGCCACCTCTTAATTTACACTTCTGTCTTGTGTCTTCACAGATGAGACAAGGGGCCTTCCTGGTGAACACAGCCCGAGGTGGCCTGGTGGACGAGAAGGCGCTGGCTCAGGCCCTGAAGGAGGGGCGGATCCGTGGCGCAGCCCTGGATGTGCACGAGTCGGAGCCCTTCAGGTGCCTCCGGCGGTGCCCTGCAGTCCCTGAAGTGGCCTAGCCTCATGGCTGCAGGGCCTCACAGTGCTGAGGGAGTGGGGCCCCGATGCCTACAAGAGGTCTCCAGGCCTGGCCTCGGGCAGCTGGGGTCCAAGGACACGGAAGGAATCTCAGCCTGAGATCCCACGTCGGACAGACCTTCCTCCCAGGGCCCAGCCAGGTCTCAAGAGGCTGGGAGGCCAACGCCTGGGCCAGGGAGGCTCTCAGTCCCCTGCACCTCCTGGAGAGGGAAAGGGCTCAGGCATCCTGCGGTGTGCCCAGGGCCACAGTGGCCAGGCTTTGCCTGGGAGCACGAGGCAGCTGGCCACGTGTGGTCACGCACAGGGGCCCCACAGCCGAGACGCACTTCTGGGTCTGCAGCCCTGGAGAGCACAGAAGTGCTGAGTGGGCCTGGGGTCTGAGAGCCCTCAGCCCCCTGCAGGGAGGGGCCCAGCAGCCTTTCCCCAGTGCAGGCCCCTCCCCCTCTGCTGTCAGGAGCCGGGGCAGGCTTGCCTGTTGGGGGCCAGCGAGTCTGGCAGAGGGTGGGGTGTGACTCCAGGCCTGGGGAAGGCCCCCCTGCCCAGCCTGGGCCTCTGACCTGCTGTGTACCCTGTAGCTTTAGCCAGGGCCCCCTGAAGGACGCACCCAACCTGATCTGCACCCCGCATGCGGCCTGGTACAGCGAGCAGGCGTCCATCGAGATGCGCGAGGAGGCGGCTCGGGAGATCCGCAGAGCCATCACAGGTGGGCTGGCAGGGGCCTGGAGTGGGGCCTGACCCACCCAGGGCTGGCCGATGTCTAGGCCCCAGCAGACCCCTGAGCCCCAGGCCCCGGCCATGTTTGTGACGCCCACTCACCGTTGCCTCTGGGAGTTTCAGCACGTGTGTCTTTCTTTCTCATCTTTCGAAAAGTCAGTTATACTTGTAAGCTTTCTAGGCTGGGCCCTGTCCGCCGGTCTCTGAAATCCCAGGCCAAGCCAACAGGGTTGGGGACCATCAGTGAGCTGAGGACAGCTGCTCGGGGCTGGGGGTCCCCGAGCTACAAGAGTGACTGTGCCCAGACCTTCAGGGGAGGGGCCCTCGGGGGAGGGGAGGGAGGCACAGCCTCCAGGCTCCTGCAGCCTGAGTTCCCATGGGGGCAGCCCGTGTCCCTGACCGGGCCCCACACTCCCGGGGTCCACTTGGTGGAGGCTGCTTACAGCAAACACTGTCCCTTCCATCTGCCGCGTGTCCCAGGCCGGATCCCCGACAGCCTGAAGAACTGTGTGAACAAGGACCACCTGACGGCCGCCACCCACTGGGCCAGCATGGACCCTGCTGTGGTGCACCCCGAGCTCAATGGGGCCGCCTACAGGTGAGCGGGGGCTGTTGGGCCGCGGGGGCAGCCTCCAGGGCTGGGCACAGGCCCATCTTCCTGGGGCGGGGTCTCTCCCGGCCGGCGGTCTTCAGGAGCCGCCCCCTGGCCCCAGACTCAGTGCTGCAGCCAGGGAGGGCCTGGCCCGGCCCCGTCCTGCCGG